AGAATCTTTAAAATTAAGACTGTTTTCACATTTTGTTTAAAAGGAAAGGGTTTGTTGTCATGTGGATGGCAGGTTGACATGTGTGAGAGAGATGGATATGCTTACAATGTTGGGTTATGTTATGTACGGTTGCTCTTAAATTTTGATGCATAATGTTTATATACATACGGTAATGGTTATTGAGTTTAAAAATTGTTTATTTAAGAACGTAAAGTTAAGTTGACACAATTGTTTTGATATATATGCATGTATGTAGTATGGTAATGGATGTTAAGTTTAAGATTTGTGTTAGAGTTTTAATATTAAATGATAGTTTAAGTAAATTGTGGGATTCACAATTTAAGGGAGCCATGTAACTGACAAGTAGCTATTTTTAGTAGTGTCTTGACCTTAATTGTAGTATCGGTGTTGATAGTATTTAGTTTTTGCCGGCACGTGTTTGTTTAGACAAGTCAGATTCTCGCAACGAGTTTCACGTTGATTCAGATGAAAGTTGTTACCAGTTGTTTCCAGTTGAAAGTTGATGAAAGTTGATGTAAGTTGACATAAGTTGATGTTAGACAATAAACAGTACCGTTTGTTACCAGTTGATGTTATATATCGTTGACAATTGAATAAAATTGACTGACACCCGCAACAACCCTTATATATGGACGACTGAGCAACCTGTCAGGGCAGTTCTCCGAGCAGTTCCTCACATTCATTCATCCATCAATGTGTGCCATCTCTTCTGAGGTTGACTTGAAATGACATTCCATCTTAATTGCCCTGTTCTTTGCTTCATTCGTGCATTCTTCCATTGGTTTACTTGTCCATATTTTGATGACATCCATCCAGGTTAGTTGTCGTCTCCCTCTCCTACGTGTCTCTTCGGCCTTTCCCTCTAGGACACGTTTACAGTTGGTTTCATGTCTGGCTACTTGACCAAAGTATTGCAGTTTCCTGCATTGTATGTTTGCGAATAAACTTGGTGTGACAGACAATCGCCTACACACTTCTTCATTCCTCACATTGGAGGTGGCTAAATATTTATTAATTGACTGAATTGACAAAGATAAACATTGGACAGCCGTGGCACTGGGCCTCACAGGGATATATAATTACTCTAGGGAGCGACCCGTCGAACCAGCATTGGTACAAAGGTTAATATGCGAAAAATGATAGTAAAGCTGCTATGTCTGTGTCCACCCTCTCCCTCAAAAAATAAATAAATAAATAAATAAATAAATAAATGATAATAAATAAATAAATAAATAAAAATGATTTTTAATTTTTGTTCTCAGTTTCATGACAATAAGACAGTGGGATCAGTAGCTCGCTCTGATATCAAAGCTTTTGTTTATTTTGCTACAGATATTTTATCCTGTATTAAGTCATGCGCATTGATGCCACCGTTTAGAAAACGCTTGTGTTTACCATGTTATTTCTGCGTGTATTAGGGAACATTCCCACGCTCTATCGTACTACTGTGGATCAATCTATCTCCGAGAGGATTTTGGCTTAATTGCAATCAACTTGAGAGGCTTAGATGACTGTCAATGAAGCTGCTTTAGGGGTAATTAATTATCGTTAAGCAGTTTCAGTAGGTGTGCTAGACATCTAAGCCGCTTAAGCTGAAAGCAATTTAGCGAGAACCCCCTCGGAGATGGGAATGGGAATGGGTTCCCAATCTAAAACCCAGGTTGCAATTGTCATTCAAGGTTGACGGTTTATACTCGACGGGTTGTCAAAAGGTCAATAGCGACTGTTTTACCTTATAAGGGCACAACTTTCTATGTTACGTTAACGTGGTCACGTGCCAGGATACCTCGTTACTATAAAAACGCCGCCGCCAGCAACACGCCGCGCTTACGTGTCTCACTTCGTGAAAATGTCTGTGCTACCGATGTGTCTCTTGGCAACATTTTTATCGCTCTTGGGCACTTTTGTCCAGTCAGCGGATGGCCTACGAGTCCTTTCCCTAACAAACGGCACCAGCGATGTACAATCAAAGGTGGATGCCATTAGAGTCAAGACTTTAGAACTGAACGAGCTCCTTTCGTCTGTGCAAAAAAGTCTTGATTCTTGCCTTGATGCAACGACAACAGGTTGGTAACTCTAATCTTACATTTCAACGTTTTCTTCTGGTAAATATTCATATATCTTTTTTTATATATTTTAAGGTATTTTGGGTTATTTTTAACAGAATATCTGCCTACAAAACCTTGACATATGGAGCATAAGTGCAGCACATAAACACGAATATAATGTAATTAGATTAACTTATTTCATTCGTTAAATGATTATTTCCCGGATATCACGTCCACAGTTTGCGAAACCATTCTCTCACACCGTTTCCGGCACCAGCAAAATAAAGCTTTTATCTCTGATGGGGAATCCCAGAAAAAGCCAAGTAGGGGTTTGAGCTGAATGTAAAATTAATAAATGTTATTTAAAAAAAAACAGAAATTAGATTTGTAGTTTATTTAATTTTGTTTTCTTTGCAGACAGTACACACACTTCTGTGAATCTTTTTCGATTTCTTGTCTCTAATTTTTAACAGAGATCCAGTGCGCGTCTGGCTTTGAGAAGTTCCAACGCTCGTGCTACAAGTTTGTGAGAGAGGAGAAGACGTGGCAGCAGGCACAAAATGACTGTCGTACCATGGGGGCGAACCTGGTGTCCATCAAGTCTTGGGAAGAACAGAAGTTCATCCTGGACCACATTGCCGCACACAAAGGTGAAAGATGCTACCTCAGTATTATAGGTTTATAAAGAGACAGAATGTCTGTAAGTTACATCTATGCCTGAGTTTTTATACATAGATCGATCCACCTGGATCGATCTAACTCCCTGGGGAGTCTCACTAAATTGTTATCAACTAACCGGCTTAAATGTCTGTCACGCCTACCAAATCAGCTAGGGGGTAAAGATAATCCCCCCCTAACAGCTTTTCTAGGGTGACAGGCATTTAAGCCGGCCAAGCTGACAGCAATTTAGTGAGACTCCCAGAGAGATAGATCGATCCAAATATCTGTGGGAATGGTCCCTATGATACAGGCCCTGATGCCAGTTGAATTTTGGTTTTGAATTTCTTATGCCTTCGTTTATGGCATAAACAATCTTTATCATTATCTTTTTTCTTTGACTGATATTTTTTTCGTTTGTGTAAAATTGGGATTGCCTATTCGATGCAAGGCGTAAGTCTAGTATGCGTTGATATCTATTGCAGATCTGTTCCCAAGTGCTCACGGGTTTCACGCTGGAGCAACAGACGCGGCAATGGAAGGGATATGGCAATGGGTTTCTGACGGATCTTTGGTCCAAGGTGAGATATGGCGTTTCAATGATTTAAATGGTTGTTATTCACTCTTATACATACTGTAAATGTATTGCCGACTATTTAGTTAGTTTGCATGCATTAATGTTTTATTTTCGTCGTTGCATTATTTTCGGCAGATCACCATTTTGAAGCACTCATTTATATGATCTTGTGTAGCAATTAATCCTCCTCCCGAAAAAATGTCTGCAGCGATGTGGGGTTTATATTCCTACTACATGCACTGCATAGTTCAGTCTGGGATGGTTTTGTATCACTGATAATAAAAGACTACTGTGTTCTGGTTACAACACAGAACTTTGGCATATACAAGTATACTAAATTACAACTTTGGCGTATACAAGTATACTAATTTGATCTTTCAGGATACTTAGGCTGGGACTTCTTTCAACGTTGGTATCAGGATGGTGGCACAAACCAGAACTGTCTGTTGCTGTATGCTCCCCGCAAATATCTGTGGCATGACGAGCCCTGCAGCTATGAGGCACATTCTATTTGTGAAATTGAAAATTAAGCCCCTTGCCGTATTAACAGTTTGTGTGCAGAGTCTACTAACGTATTTAAAAATAAAGAAGTTGTTCATGCAGATGTAAGGCACCACGTATGAACTTGTTATGATCTAGAAGAACGTCTAAGCACTTTGTAAACTAGACATTTACATGTTTATGCTCACAATGAATCATTTAAAATTTTCTTCATAAGAGGACAATAAATATAGGGAAACCCCCTTTATTAGATATTTGAAATCGCAGTAACAACTTAACTTAAATTACAAAAATTAGAAAACAAAAAAGCTTTTTTAATCATCCAACAGCATTTCTGTTCTGTCCCCTAAGACAATCAATTTATTTTTCATGTAAAGCGTTTCTTTGTCTTCACAAATTTGTTTACTCTATTTTTCAAAATTCTGCATCTGTCACATGACGAAAAATAAATTCTTTGGAACAGCTTCTCTGATAAGATTGCAGAATTTAAGCCTCATAACTATACACATAACGATATGGTGCATGGGTACAAGTTACTACCAAGAGCCCGTTCCCTTTCCTAGATCAATCTAGCAAGATCAAGCCATCTCCCAGGGGTTTCTCGCTAAATTACACTCAGCCTAAGCGGCTGTGATGTCTGGCACACCTACTGAAGCTGGGGGTTATTTTCTATCGTTTAGCAGCTTCAGTAGGCATGCCAGACATCTAAGCTGTTTAAGCTGAATGTTATTTAGCGAGAATCCTCACAGAGGTGGGTCGATCTTGCTAGATCGATTTAAGTATGGGGATGGGGTCTAAATGATACTGTAATTCTACGAAGATCGATCCATCTCCTTGGGGACTCTTGCTGAATGCAATGAGATTAACAGACTAACAGTGATTATACGAGTAAAGGTACTAGTACGTTTGGAAACAAGAGGAAACGTGTTTCTCTGTTATACTAATTGCATTCAGAGACCCCGAGGAGTTGGATCGATGTACATGTGCGTAGAACGATTATTTATTTGGGAACGGGCCTTAATATTCCAACGGTACAGTATAGTATCCACATGTGACATGATTTACCTCAGCAGGCCTCGTGATAACAATTTTGAACCCGGATATCTCTTGGCCACGATTTTAGCCCTATTGGGCACTTTTGTCCAGTCAGCAAAAGGCTTGAATTTACAAAAGAACAAAAATGCGAAGTCGGTCTTTCTCCTACGAAGTCACTGGGTGGAATGGTATGAAATGCGAGTATCAAGGACGGATCCAGGATCATTTGAAGGGAGGGAGGGTCCACGGATGCGAAGCCGACCCTCAGGCCCCCCCCCCCCCCCCCCCCTTGGCGTGAGGTTCGGGGTCCGCTAAAGGGCCCCGAATTTTTAAAAAAATATTTTAGAGGGCGAACAGTGCCGCTTGGAACGGTTTAAAACTATTATTCAGCTAATCTAATGTCAAGAGGGAAAGATTGATGTAATATATTTTTCAGAAACCGAAGGGGGGGGGGGGGGGGCAGAACCACCGATAAAAGCATTAGAACTTGAATTGAACTTTCAGTAGCTATGCCGATATAACACCACGTGGTATCACCTGTAAACTGCGTTCAGCAGAAAAAATAACATTTCGGCGGAATTATTTGCTAAATATGTTTTTCTCATTATTCGCATCGCCGCAATTGCGTGAATGGAAAGTGCACCAGCTTTTACACATTTGAACATTTTTAATGTTATCGTTTAAGCCGAAGCTTCAATTTGCACTAGATGCATGTTAATACCATATGGGAGTTCCCAGTATCATCACTGAACTCAGGGATTACCCGAAAAATACCACCTGTTGATGCGAAATGGCAGTAGTTCAAGGTTGTAAAGACTGGCCAATCAACGCTCTTTTTCACAAGTAGTCTACATCAATCGATAGTTTTGAAACGCCCCTTAACCCTCTTCCCCAAGACGACGCACGAATTCGTGTCTTCTCCTCTTTGATCGTGGGCTATATAAGCATAGTTGCCATCCACTCACTGACAACTTATTCCAAAGACACGATGGCAACACTGCTCGTTTGGATGATTATTTCGTCTGCATGCCACTTTGCTTTATCCACAAATTTGCCCTTTACTCCTAGGTAAGTACAGTTTCAACATGAGCACACCTATTTTGTAGACTAAACATTTAATAGACAACTTGAGCCCCATGAGGCAACCGTTTGGACACACAAAACTATGATTTTAAGTCTAATTGTTCAAACTGTATGTCGTCCAGTGAAAGTAGCGGATATACTGTATAAACGAATTTGTCATCAATCAACTTGACATAAAAATCATAAGTGCTAATAATATCAAGGAACCCTTAATTTAACTAAAGCATGTACTTCAACACACACACACACACACCTCCAACCAAAAAAAGGGGGGGGGGGGGGTAAAACACGTAGATGTATTGGCAATAGTCAACATACTGCATCAGTTGTGTTCAGTCCCACATCATATATATTTTATTATTACCCCCGCCAAGGAGGTTATGTTTTCACCCCTGTTTGTCTGTTTGTCATCACATAACTCAAAAAGTTATGGACCGATTTTGATGAAATTGTCAGGAACTGTCAGAAGTGGGCCAAGGAAGAGATGATTAGTTTTTGGTGGTGATCCGGATCAATAATCAATAATAATCAAAAATCGCTGCCTTGGCGGAGGTCTGCGCTCTCGGAGTGCTTTTCTAGTTATTATTATTTCCATATATGTATTAATCACCTTTTAAACTAGCCTAGGAACACCGACGCCCACCTGTGTCCAGCAATGCGGCAGTGAAATGAAGTATATGGAATATAGACTCCAGACTCTCGATAACAAATATCAGAAATTGGCTGACATAGTGACAAAGATTACGGCACCACCTTGTACGTAGTTTTGTTGTAATGAATTTTCATTATAAAGGAGCTTAAAAAAGGTCAATACCTGTTCATTTAGCTTATTCTAAAATTGTATATATGCATCGATTGTCTTTAAAATAGAGTTGTTTGTGTAATTTCTCATGAAATAAATCCGCAAACCGTGGCGAATCAAGGGCTGATCCGCTCAGGGTGTGTCTTTTTTCGAACATAAATCTGAGAAGCAATTCTCCGTAAGTCCTTTTTGAATATTCATTAGACGTAGGTAAAACCGTCTCACGATATGGATCAACTCATCTATCCATGCATCAATTAATTTTGATGCCGGAAATTTTGCGGACAGAACGAAGATTTAAAATTTAAAAAAAAGAACAAAATAAATATAATAAATAATAAATTTAATATAACAAAAATATTAATAATACAACAGCCGATTAAAATTAAACAGTACAAATTGAAAAACCGCTTCTGGTGAGATTGCTGTTGCCGAAGTTTGACCGGGTAGACCGCTGCAGGGAATAATGCTGAGACGAGGGCTGGTGAGAAAACCACTGATGCTGAGACCGGTGACGTCTAGGGCTGACGGGAACACCGCTGAGACGAGGGCAAGTACGAGAACCACACGCTGAAATATAAATGGGTGGTCATGATCTGTAAAGATATTCTCTACCTAGTTTCTTTTCAAGTACTTGGATACATGGGTCTGTGTTGAGGGTTTTGCTGACCACTGCCAGATCGCCTACACCACAGTAGCCAGTACACTCCATGCATGACTTACGTAGGGTAGGTCCTGTCTACCAGAGTCAGAAAATTGGGTAGATACTTCTAACCAGCTGTTCTCCAAACCCTTACGAGTCCATAAAACCTGGCAGCCCTTAACCTGCTTTCATCTGAGAACAATATCATTGCCCATTTATGGGCTGGTGTCCAGTTCTAAGTTGCATTACTGACGAGACGTAGACGGTTCCTGTCACTGATCACTGGTCTCCTAACAGCCACACTGCCAAAATAACGGCGATTGTGCAGACGTCTTCTGACGGTAATCTCAGTGACATGGTGTAGCCTCTTCTTGTTACATGTTGAAGTCGAGTGTCTTAATATCATGAAATGTTTTCTAGGATGAAGGCGAATAAAATTTCTCTTCCCCGGGTATGGTTTCCTTCAATCGCCCCTACCCAGGCTAATTTGCCCCTGTGCCTGCAAAATTAGTTATGACTGGTTATGCTGTTGTGTAACTCGCAGAATGGTTCTCATGGAGCAATCCAACCTTTTGGCAATCCGGAGGTCATAACTCCCTCTTGCATGTGTTAACCGCTTTGTAAAAAAGGTGTCTATCTCACTTAAAAATAATTGGCGTTGGAGTATTTTAGTGGTCACAGTAGGTAGGTCTATATTCCACTACTCACATCCCAATTTACACGATTATCATTTGCCTAGTTGTTATGTATTAGAAAAATTAAATCTATGGGTACCCTTGATGCAATGTACATAATTGCAGTAGGGGTGACACAATTTTGCTAGGGGAGTACATTATCTTTGAGTTCGTTTCCTTTTTGATGATTTAGTATTGCTTTATCTGAATTCAAAGTGACTATAATGGATGTATCTTGAAATTCTTCGTGTATAAAAGGTCTACTAAATTTAGCATTATTAATAAACTCTTTGCAGAAATGATGGGTGTTTTGTTAATTAGAACCACAACTTTTATTTCAAATTGTGAAAACTCTTTTTACAGCTGGCAGTTGCTTTCACCAAAAGACATTTTCAAATTACGAGATGAGACAAAATTCCTTGAGTAATGCAAAACGGTTGGGTTGAATTGTGTATGTGCAACATATATGAGCAGAATGGCTTCCCACGTGTACTCTTATGACGCCATCACTGGTGTTTGCGGTTGCAAGTTATTTTTAGCACATTTGTAGGGTGCCAATGCCTTATCTTAAAGCTTGATAACTAAGATGGATGTGCTGTTTTGGGAGCAAACAAGAAGGCGGATCTGATCGCGTTGGAATTACTTAAGGAACTGTCTGTTAGAGCAACCAACCTCATCGTACAAGGTAACATTCTCGACCAGACATCAGCACTGGTTGTCCTTGTAAACCTATAACCTGGAGGATTTGTTCACCTAGCCAGTGTTGTCAGAAGAGAACAATGTCGCCTTCTTCACTGAGGGACAGTGACAAGAACGTGGCAGAACTTGAGTTCTCAATCAGTCAATAGCATATTTTTTATTCGTGGCCTGAGCCAAGGTGCACTTCTAACAAAACTTTTTTGGTCCAACAGAGGAAGAGCCGCCATCTGGAATGGAGCAGACAACTCCATTACCGTCTTCCGTATGGAGGTCGAACCAATCTTGGGTTCCTCAGAAAAAGTGTACACATGTAGCTGCAGACGTCTTCGTGCACGCTCTGGTGTCATATGCCAGAGTTTAACTTGGTAGTCATTCTCTGTCCCAATAATGCCAATGTTCCAACATCAGCAAAACAATTTGAATTCTTAGTTGTAATCTTTAGGATTCTCTTCTGATCATATTCTTTAACTGTCCCTGAGATTAATGGATGTTAAGGAATATATTGTAAACATCACACTGGTCTTTTTTCTGTTATTTTATTTCTATAAAGACCGTGCCAAAACATCCGCAAGGCAGAATCTGAAATTTTTCGCGTTATTATGTAAAGTAGAAAGCTTCTATCTCTAATACAACATCCAAAGAAAAGCTAAATATCATTAAATATTCTTTTTAGTTTGATGGAAATAGACAAAATCTCTGTGAACTAAACAACTCTACCTTCTGTGCATTAGCACCTATACAAAAAGAAGATTTGTACTTAATTTTGTGCTATTTGTGCACAGTACACATATTTCACTGATTCTTTTTTGGATTCTTCTCTCCAATTTTAACAGATATCCAATGTGCGTCTGGCTTTGTGAAGTTCCAACGCTCGTGCTACAAGTTTGTGAGAGAGGAGAAGACGTGGCAACAGGCACAAAATGACTGTCGTACCATGGGGGCGAACCTGGTGTCCATTAAGTCTTGGGAGGAACAGAAGTTTATCCTGGACTACATCACCGCACACAAAGGTGGCAAACGCTACCTCAACATTATCTGTTTTGAAAGATACAAAGTTTTCAAGTTACATTTAAGATACAGGTTATTCTGCCAGATGAATTTTGATTAATAAATTCTTAACCGAGGCGTGTCTTCTTTAAATTATTGAGGCCCACTGAAGTGGAGATAATCAGTTGTTTATGAGGCGTTTGAAATTAATCATATTTATGTTTTTTGCATAAACCATTTGTACCATTGTCCCTTTTTAACTAATATTTCATCATTTTTGAAAAACCTATTCGCTTCACGGCATAAGTCTAATGCGGTATGCGTTGTTATCTATTGAAGAGCTGTTCCCGAATTCTGGGGGGTTTCACGCTGGAGCAACAGACGCGGCATTGGAAGGGATTTGGCAATGGGTTTCTGACGGATCTTTGGTCCAAGGTGAGATACGGGGTTTAATAATTTCAATAGTTATGATTCAATCTTATATGTGTTTATCTGAATTGCCGATTATTTTCTTAGTTTGCCTGTAATAATGTTTTTATTGTTGTTGTTGTTGCATTATGTTTGGCAGATCACCATTTTGAAGGAACTGGTCTATATCATCTTGTGTAGCAATCCTCCTCCCTGAAAATTGTCTGCAGCGATAATGTGGTGGTTATATTCCTACTACATGTAGGCCTACTGCGTAGTTCAGTCTTGGATGGTTGTGTAGCATTGTTATTTAGGACTAGTCAGTATGGTTACAACACAGATATCTGTCGCATACAAGACAAGATTAATTTTATCTTTCAGGATACTTAGGCTGGGACTTCTTTCATAAACACCACCACGCCGGAGGCACAACCGAGAACTGTCTGCTGCTGTATGCTCAACGCAAATATCTGTGGCATGACGGGTCCTGCAGCAATAACGTTCATTATATTTGTGAAATTGAACATTGAGCACGTTGGTTTATTAATAGTCTGCTTGCTTACGGAAAATGAAGTTGTACAAGCAGATGCAAGTCACCAGATACGAACTTGTAATGTGTTAGAACTTCTACCACGTTATAAACTTGACATTTACCGCTGTACATGTTGACGTTCCTAATGAATCATTTTAAATTTTCTTTATAAGAGGGTAATTGCAAATAAAAATGGGGAAGCCCCCTCTACTAGGTATTTGAATTTTCAGTGACACATGATCATAAATTACAAAAATTAGTATACAATAAAGGCCTTTCATCATCCAACAGTATTTCTCTTCTGTCCAATAAGAACATCAATTTATTTACATGTATCATGTAAAGCGTTTCTTTGTCTTCACAAATGTATTGTTTACTCTATTTTTCAAAACTCTGCATCTGTCACATGACAAAAAATAATTTTATTTGGAACAGCTTCTCTGATAAGATCACAGAATTTAAGCCTCATAACAATATACACAGTTGTGGATCCAATTGTTATTGTTGCTACCTAGGACCCATGATTATGGGTACAACGTGCTACTAAGACCCCATTCCCACACCTAGATCGATCTAGCAAGATCGACCCATCTCCGTGGGGATTCTCTCATTACATGCATGCATTCAGCTAAGCGGCTTAGGTGTCTAGCATGCCTACTGAAGCTGCCAAACGCTAGTCAGTTACCCCTATCAGCTGCAGTAAGCATAACTGACTCTGTCATTCTATACGAAGATTGATCCACCTCCACGGGGACTCTTGTTGAATGTAATAAGAGTAACGGATTAACAGTTATTACACGAGTGCAGGTACGTTAAAAACAAGAGGAGGTGTTAGTCTGTTGAACTGATTGGATTCAGAGAGATTCCCCGAGGAGTTGGATCGATGTATTCACAGAACGATAATTTATTTGGGAACGGGCCTTAATATTTCACACGGTACAGTAGTATCCACATGTAACATGACCTACCTCAGCAGGCCTCGTGATGACGATTTTGAACCCGGATAAGACTCTCTAACAGCTGACTTCTTCACTTCAAGTTGTGAACACTTACATGTATGTGCTACACAGGGATGGCTACTTAAGCTAGCGCCCCGACGGTCTTATAATGAACTGGCACAGGGATTAATATGCCTTAAATGATGGCAAAATCGCTATTTCTGTGTCCACTCCCTCTCCAAAATAAAAATATGTGCATTTGAATAAGTAAATAAATGAATAAACGAAATTATATAAATCAGAAATAAACCTCAAACTAACAATTCAAAAGTTGTGATTTTACTTGTAATATTGTAATTTATTCTATGGACGTTTTCTATCTCTTTTAACTAAATACTATTACATTTCTACAGAAGGTCTTCTTACAGAGCCACATAACTTGTGCCTAATGACGACATACTGGTTTGAATTTTGAAATCAGTAGCTCGATTTCATATCAAAGATAAGGCACCACTTTTTGCTCCAAATTTTTCATACTGCAGAGTTATACGAATGCCGCATGCGCAGTGATCGCATCTTTCAAAGAAACAACTGTGAACACAAAGGGGTATCTGCATGTTTACATTTACTACTTAGCTTCACAGGTCATATTGGTCACGTGAGCATGAGGCCATTAACTTTGGTTTTACCTTATAAGGGTGCAAGATTTGAGAAATGTCAACGTGGTCACGTGACGGGACACCTTGTTACAATAAAAAAGCCGCTCCCAGCAACACGACACGTTTACGTGTCTCACTTCGTGAAGATGTCTGTGCTACCAATGTGTCTCTTGACCACGTTTTTATCTCTCTTGGGCACTTTTGTCACGTCAGCAGCAGCAGAAGACCTTGGGGTCCTTTCCTTAAAAGACGGTACTAGTGATTTACGCTCAAAGGTGGATGTCATTAGAGCCAAGACTTCAGAACTGAACGAGCTCCTGTCGTCTGTGCAAACTAGTCTTGAAACCTGCCTTGATGAAACGACAACAGGCGAGTTACGCTAATCTATCAGTTTATTCTTCAGTAATTTACATATGTATTCCATCATCTATTTTGTGTTGTCAGTATTCTAAAATATTTTAAAGGAATTTTAACTCATTTTAAGTAAAATGTCTGCGTACAAAATCTTGCTTTATTACATTTGTCAAATTACTCGTAACCCGGATATCACGTCCACGTTTGGGAAACCATTCTGTAATCTCGTCAACTGATTCCGGTTTAACGCGAAAGAGAGTTCCCCGTGATAGAGAGTCCGCTTCCCATTCTTTTGTATAGGAAAGCCTAGCCCTAGATTTTGACCCACTTAGATCAGGCTAACCCTAACCATGATAACTAAATGGAGGGCGGATTTTCTGTTACACGGACCTACAGTTTCGTTTCACCAGGACGAGCAAAATGCAGCATTTCTCTCTGATACAGAATTCCAGGATGAACAAACGAGGGTCGTGGCCTGATTATCTTATTAAATATTGCATGAAGTTTGATAGGAATTGGGCACTTTTCCCGTGAAAGAAACACCTCTACCTCTGTGCATCAGCAATTAAATAGATGTAATTTATAAAAAATACAGAAATAAGATTTAAATTAAATTTTTTGTTATTTGCATACAGTAAACATATTTCTTTGATTATTTTTCGGATTCTTCTCTCTAATTTTAACAGATGTCCAGTGTGCATCTGGCTTTGAGAAGTTCCAACGCTCGTGCTACAAGTTTGTGAGAGAGGAGAAGACGTGGCAGCAGGCACAAAATGACTGTCGTGCCATGGGGGCGAACCTGGTGTCCATTAAGTCTTGGGAAGAACAGAAGTTTATCCTGGACCACATAACCGCACATAAAGGTGAAAGACGCTACTTCAACATTATCTGTTTTTAAAGTGACAGAATGTCTATAATTTGCATCTAAGATACAGGTCTTGATGCCAGCTAAATTTTGAATTATACGTATGTTTACGGCATAAACAATCTTTACCATTATCTTTTTTCTTTAACTGATATTTTTTTCGTTTTTGTAAAATTAGGCTTGCCTATTCTATCCGCGCCATAAGTCTAATGCGGTATGCATTGTTATTTATTGCAGACCTGTTCCCGAGTGCTATCGGATTTCACGCTGGAGCAACAGACGCGGCAATGGAAGGGATTTGGCAATGGATTTCTGACGGATCTTTGGTCCAAGGTGAGATATGGTGTTTCAGTGGTTTCATCTGTTATCAATCATTCTCTCTCTCTCTCTCTCTCTCTCTCTCTCTCTCTCTCTCTCTATATATATATATATATATATATATATATTAAAAA